GCGTGCAGCGAGAGAAGGACTGATTTTTGGCACTTCTCATGGCACCTTCAGCCATTCCGCGGCGTCGGCAAAAATGTTCTGGAATCTTCAATTTTTTCGAAGATTGAAAATTTTGATCGGTCGGAGTCTTTCAGTCATGGCAGTTGCGGGCAATGACATCCAGCTCTGAGGATGTCAAGACGTTCACAGGCATGTTTGATCGTGGGCAGATTTATGACAAGGTCACGGGAGACGGAATGGAAAATGAGAGTTGAGATTCAATGGACTCCAAGACAAACTTTGACAGTACCCAGACTGATATCTGAGTTGACTGTGACTTTTGTTGCAGCTTCAGATGTTCAAGTTCTGACATCCTCTCAGCAGCTAGTGCCATAGTGATATACTAAATAGTGTGAACACCTAGTGAACAGTGATGACCTTTCAGCGATGCCTTGTTGCACTTGCACTCTCCTCAGCAGTGATGACCGGTAGGTCCTGCAGGAGGCCAAAGCGGCTGCAGCCTCGTCGAAGGGCGGCTCGCTGATCTCGAGTGGCGTCCCATGCGCTGCAGCACGACATATTGACATCCGACGATGGATCGAATAGATATCCCCAGCTATTCAAGTGATTCGAATAATTTGCAGTTTTTTGAAGTTATTCGAAGTTCTTCGAAGATACTGTAGGATTGGCAACTGTAACGTGTAGGTCACCCGCTACGCATGGCTTACGCCCTGGGTATGACGCATGACGCATCAGTTACGTATGCCAGACAATTTTCACCACATTTTGTGTTGCCACAACCGATGTTGGGATTCTACGTTGGCTTATTGCCTGCTGTAATCTCAGACCAACTGATTTTGGACTGCTAAGATTGCAGTCCGCTTGAAATCGAACTAGATGTTCTTTGAGCTTTGCTCCCTGCCGGAGGTGAGGGCCAGAGCCAAGTGGAGCTCTCTGAAGACCAGGGAGCAACGCTTGGGCAACGCTGCAAGAAGCAGACTGAAACCGAAAAGAAGTGCAGAGCACGAGTAAACCCTCCAAGCTTGCCCGCCACAACGATGTGTTTTTTTCCCTTTGGCAGCAGTTCGAGTCAGCCATGGTTCCTTGTCCTCGTTTTGACCTGCAGCTGATGTGGATCAATCTCTGCCCGTGTAGTGCGGCAATGAATCCCATCTTGGAAATTCTTCTGGTTGCTTTGAGCCTTGGAGTGGGTACTGCAAGTTCTGCGCCGTGCTTGCGGGATGCAATACCTGCCGCTGAGCGAATCAATATCACCATGGATGGGGTTAGCATGCCACTAGGAATTTGGCAAAATGCTTGGGATTCCTCGGTGATCATATCACAAATGTATGGAATCATTGCTTCGGAAGTGCTTGGACTCCACGTGGAATTTGCTACAGGCCCTGCCAGCGAATTGATTCTTGGCAAGCTTGCAGGCTGTGCCCACCAAGGCTTTGAGATTGTCGGAGATTGTGGTCCTCCTCGCCGATTCCACGTGTCGTTCGAGAACTGGCTTACTGACTCTCCATGGACTCAGCAATGGCTCACAGAGTTGGAACCATACGGAGCTCCTATCAACCTGGGATCCATTGGATATGAAGGGAAGAGCGGAATGTTTGTTCTCAATGGATCCTTGCACGCGGGTCTACAAGACAGTGGTTTGTCTCTGGACTTCTATCGCTCTTACAATCTTGCTTTCTTTGATCCATCGCAGTACACAGCCAAGGTATCAGAAGTGGACCTGGCTCTATTGAAGGGCTGCGACAGCATCGAACTGGGCTATCCCGGGATCGCAGACTTGTACTTGAAAATTACTGGGGATGATGAAGGTGTTCTGAAAGCTCCAAGCGGCAAGACCTTGAGCTGCTGGCAGAATAAATGGTGGCTTGCGCCAGCATGCCGCAGTGACACGTCAAAGTGCGTGCCAGTCATTATGCCCTTTACGGGTTGGGGCATGCCAGAGATGATGCAACAAGCATTTTGGCACGGCATGCCTTTGGCGTTTGCCAGTGCCATTGACGTTGAGTTTGCGAGTTTGAACCGCGAATTGCAGAGCTTGTTGTACACATGGGTGCCAGACACCGCCTTCATACTTGACAGCCCTTCACCAGTCATTTTTCCAGACCATAGCCGCGAACAGTATGCAGAGAAAGTCTACAAGACAATGAACAGCAAAGTGGTATTGTCCAAATGGGCATCTCGTGGATTGCAAACCGCAGCCAGGTATGCCTTTCTGGTGGCGGAGAGTTTAGCGTTCTCCATTGAGGGGATAAATGGTTTGCTGCGGTCACATGTGTTATCAGGTGAGGACGCTTGGACTACAGCATGTACCTGGCTCCAGCAGAATCCAGCTGCATGGAGGGATTGGATTGCTTCAAAAACTTCGTGCGCCGTGGGCTTCCGTTTGGTTGATGGTTCTGGACTGCTGGTTCAAAACATCAGCCAAGCAGTTGGCTGCACTCATTGTCCTGCTGGCAGCAAATCCACACCAATGTCGGATGCTGACGGAGAGACATTTGTCTGCACTCCATGCCCACCAGGGTTTTCTCAAGAAAACCCGTTCTCCACTACATGCGAACCATGCCGGAAGGGAACTGTGACCAACAGCTACGGAAGTGAAGCGTGTTTGCCCTGTAGTGTAGGGTCTTATCAAAACAGTACCGGTCAGACTCTATGCATCTCGTGTGGTCTCCGGACTACCCAGTTGCTCGGTGGGGTTTCTTACATGGATTGTGTTTGCAACGAAGGACAGATTGAGGAAGATGGAGCGTGCCTGGAATGCCCGCTGGGCGTGAATTGCCCAGTTGGTAGTACTGTCGCTCTCTTGTCAAAGGCCCACGAAACCAATGCTTTGAGGATCATAGAGGGATTCCACAGTGATCCTGCAACTCCACTGCAAGTCCACAAGTGTGTCTCTGAGAAATTCTGCCCCGGTGGTCCCCCTGGCAGTTGCGCCGGAGGTCGGGTTGGTATTACCTGTGGTGCCTGCCCAAATGGGGAGTACTGGGCTTCGAAGTGCGAGGCCTGTACCTCAGCAACGGTGGTATCATGGGCTCTTGGAGCTGCAGCCCTTGCTATTGGAGTTGTCCTTTCCTACTATGCGATCACATCTAGCCTCAGTGCCAAAGCAAGTGTGCTCATGTGTACTGGTGTCAGCATTGCCATAATGGTGTCCTTTTTCCAGAACTTGGGCGTCGTGAACAGCATTAGAATGGACTGGCCTCCATTTCTCAGCAAGTTGTTCGAAGTCGCAAGTGTATTCTTGACCCTGGAGGCCCCTGGCACCGCCTGTCTAGTAGGTACTGACGTATGGCAGTATGGATTGCAGATCTCGTTCGTTTACGTTGTGGCCTTGATGCTACCAGCCGCGTGGGTTTTGTCCAATATCTTCCTTAAGCGCTGTGGTCTGGCTTGGGATCCGTTGAAGACAATTTCAGTCATGGGAACAATCTTCCAACTTGGGTTCACGACCTTGGCCGCTCTTAGCAGGGTGCCTTTCGTGTGCTACAGGCATCCCACAGGGCAGTACAGCGTGGCACAGCATTCAAACGTCCTTTGTGGTGAGAGTCCACACATGGAAGCTTTTGGAATTTCTTTGATGGTCGTGCTGATGATTTTCCTCAGTGCCTGCTTCTATGCTGCAGCAAGGGCACCAACTTGGTCCAAGAAACTACCGGCGATTCGCTTCTTGATCTTCCGCTTCAGACCGCAGGTTTGGTGGTTTGGCTTGGTCTTGCTCGTTCGAGGCGGCGTCCTGCCCCTATGTGGTGTTGTCGTCCCAGACATGCCCCGCTTTAGCTTGACAATGATGGGGAGCATACTCCTGACCTATCTTGGCGTCCAAATTTGGCTTCAGCCGTGGAAAGCTCCGATACTAAATCTCGTGGACTCTCTCTCGACTGGGATTTTTGTGCTCTTGTTGTTCGTGTGTTTGGGACTCCAAAATGACGACGGGGGTGTGGAAATGGAAGCCTTAGAGATTTTAGCTACACTTCTTTCGTCAAGCATCGCCGGCATTCTTTTGCTCATGCTTTGCACTTGCGTCTGGAGTCTTTTCCAGCGGCAAGTCATAGGAAGCCACAGTGACCTGATCTTGAACCTGGGAAGATGTGCTACGAATGAGAAGGTATTGGACAAACTCATTGAGATCTCCCACTGTATCAGCGCAGCGGCAGAGGGTCAACAGCATGAATGGGTTCGTAGCCTGGACAACCTCACTGTCTACGACCTTCATGCTGTCGACGTTGTGACTGAAGTCCTAGCAGATGCTATGTCACTGCAAGTCTCCCGCAGGAACTTTGGATCATCTTCGCAACAGAGAGTTGGGACAAGCCGCCGTCGCATTTCTGACGAGGCTGAAGTTTCTGAAGAAGCTGAAGATGCTCCAGAGCTTGGCCCATCCTGTGCTCGTGCTTCCTGCTGGGTCTGAGGCGCTGCTCTCTAGTAGTTGGAGTTGGAGATTTGGCGCTTGTTTTGTGAAGCCTTTGTGTTTAAAACACAATCAATTAAATAGCACAGCCAACCTGTGCTCATGCTTCCTGCTGGGTCTGAGGCGCTGCTTCGCCGCATTCAAATTTTCCATCTCTAACGGCAGAGTAGTTGGAGTTGGAGATTTGGCGCTTCCTCTGTGAAGCCTTTGTGGCCTTTGTGTTTAAAACACAATCAATTAAATAGCACAGCCTTGAGTCAGCTAGTAGAGAGCTCAAAAAAAATGCGTCAATGTTGTTGATTTACTAGCTTTGACGTCGCCAAAAATTTAGGTAAATTTTAGTCGTAGTTCCCGAAAGCTCCTGCGAAGGGTTTTTCCCGAAGAACGGCTGCCAAATTCATTTACATAACATCACCTACATTAATCTCTCCTACCTTCTTCATATCATCTACATCATATCATCTACCTCACCTACATCATACTTTCGATCTACCCCCCGCCCAGTAACAGCAGATAAATGATTTTCCTTTAACCTACCCTTTCAAAACGAGCACAAGGAAATTGCTCCAAAAATCTCGGCTAGGAGGTGCCAAAAACAAAACGCAAACCTGCCTTCCAAACCCCTGATACAGAATTCAGATTTCAAGACAGGGGCTTCACTGTCAAGATCTTTCAAGCATATCAGTTGCATTCCATGGCGAAGTGATTGTGGAATATTGAGAAAAGAAGAGTGCAGACTATAGACAATACATTCATGCGTTACCCTGAGAAGGTGCGGGCAAGGCATCTGCATTGTAGCAAGGGCTGGAACATATTGTGAAAGAATTGGGCCGCTTGATGCAACTGGCACAATGTACCGTAATGTGCTGAAGCATGGAGTCAGATTGGCCATGTGGGAAAATGGCAATGTTCTTGTGAGCGCAAGGCAGTCCTTGCAACTTGGCAACCATCCTAAACTTTAAATCCTAAACCCTGAGCCCATCCGAACCCTAAATCGCAAAACTTCATTGACGCGTAAGTACCAACCGCCAAAACAAGCACAAGCAGACACAAAAAGAGCGCCAAAAAGCACAAAAAAAAAAAAGCACAAAAAAAGCACACGGAGACCGCAAAAATAGCTGTCCAAAGAAAGGAAAAAAGAAGCCTGGGCAAGGAAAGGTCCAAAGGGACGACAAAACGAGCACCAGAGGGACCACAAGAAAAGCACAATTTTAGCACCAGCCGAAGCACAATTTGAGCACCAGCCGGGCACAATTTGAGCACCAGCCGAGCACAATTTGAGCACCAGCCAAGCACAATTTGAGCACCAGCCGAGCACAATTTGAGCATCACCCGAGCACAATTTGAGCACCAGCCGAGCACAACTTGAGCACCAGCCAAGCATTTGAGCACCGGCACCACAGCGCAAATTTAAAATTACCAAAAATCAATGCCAAGGACCAGAGGGGCCACAAGAAAAGCACATTTTGAGCACCAGCCGAGCACAATCCAAGCACCAGCCGAGCACAATTTGAGCACAGGCCGAGCACAATTTGAGCACCAGCTGAGCACAATTTGAGCATCAGCCGAGCACAATTTGAGCACCAGCCGAGCACAATTTGAGCACAGGCCGAGCACAATTTGAGCACCAGCTGAGCACAATTTGAGCATCAGCCGAGCACAATTTGAGCACCAGCGGAGCACAATTTGAGCACCAGCCGAGCACAATTTGAGCACCAGCCGAGCACAATTTGAGCACCAGCCGAGCAGAGCACATTTTGAGCACCAGCCGAGCACAAGTCGAGCACCAGCCGAGCACAATTTGAGCATCTGTGGGATCTGCTGGTTGGAGCACCGAGGCAAACTGTGCACGTCGCTGCCGGTTATGTCGGGGCTGGCGGGGTGGTGTCTGCCAGGGCTGTGGCCGGTGAGGTCAACCACGGATGGGGGGCTGGAAGAGGGAGTCGCCATGGTGAAAAATCCAAGGAGCAGTAAGGCGACGACGTGCATGCAGCACGGGGGGAGGGTGTCGAAAACCACGAGTGCTGAGTCCAAGGATTGTTGTGTTTGTGTGTGTTTGTTCTTTTTTCGGATTCCTTTTTTTGGTTGGAAAAGGGTGGGGTGCCGGCGCCCCGAACCTATAAAGTACAAGCCGGTCTTTTTGGATCCGTTGGGACAAGGCTGTTTTTATACTGGCCAGCCTCCAGGTGGGCCAATGGCGCTACTGTATTTTAGGTGTTTCCAGGCTCCACCGGAAGGCAAAATCCAACTACAAGGTGCTTCACTCAATCACATATAGTCAACAGTTTCAAACTGATTTGGTGCCGTACCGCATTTCTTTTGCCTGCCCAAAGGCTCCGCTATTGAAAAAAATCAATAGCTATTGAAAAAATCAATAGCCTATTGATTCCTTTGAAAACCAATCGAAAGATCAATAGATTGGTATTTTCTGATTTCAATCGAAAAATCAATAGAAAAGTTGCATTTTTAAAGAAAAATGTTTTTTTTCAAAATCAATCGAGAAATCAATCGAGAAATCAATCGAGGAATCAATCGTGACAAGTTGTTTTTAACCTGAAATCTAGCCATCCTATTTAGTGGCAGGATGTATGTACTTGTGGCTGTCCAGCCACCACTTAAATGCAATCTGGCTTTTCAAAGGCTTTGGCTAAACAGCCACCACACTCCAGCAAAAGTGTTGTGGCTATCCAGCCACCACATGAAAGCTTTGTGGCTCCCAGCCACCACAGTCAACTGCAGTCTTTTGGCTATCCAGCCACCACACTCAACAAAAGTCTTTTACATGGCTATCCAGCCACCACATGAAAGCTGCACATTGTGGCAGGGCCTGCCATTTTTCACACTTCTTCATTTTCTTCTAGGTCTGGATTAAAAATCCCTTCCAGCATCAGGTGAAAAGCGTATTCAAATTTGGCTAGAACCTTGGAAGGGAGCATCCATGCAGGTGTGCTTTTCACACTGCTCCCAGCAACTGCCACCATCAGGGACATGAAGCTTTCTCCCCCATATGCCCAGCAGCTCCTTGGTGCCAAGTATTGGCACTGTGCTGGGTAATGAGCCATGAGGTGGTGCTTCTGCACCAGGCTCCACATACATTCTGCACTCTTCATGCTATTCTTTGCCGGCCATGAATAGTGTCCTAGGATTGCCTCAGTCTTCTCTTGAAACTGCTGTCCCACCTTCTTGTCCCAAACATACTCCTTCAAGTCACAAAGGTCATAGGCTTCCTCCATGGCCTTGCACAAAGCTTCCATGTGTTTTCCTTTTGTGTTTGTAGCCAGGGTCCCAGCCAACAGTGTCGCCACAGTGGCAAATTTCCTGACTCTCCTCCCTTTCACATGTTTCAGGCAAGGGAACTCATCACCAAAGATGTCTGACACATTGAGTCTGGGTATTCTTTCCCCTGCTGGGGTTTCAAGTTCCTCATATCTCATGGCCACCATCTTGTTGACTTCCACCAAAGCCCTTTTCTTTCCCATAGGAAGGCTCTTGACGATGGTTGCCAAGAGGTTCCCATGAATGTGGGATGCCACTCCAAGGCCTACAAGGTGCAACAGATCCAATTTCATGCTCCAGAAGGAAGTTCCTGGCACTCCAAATAAGGGATGTGATACTGGTGGTGGTGCTGACACACTCCTCAAAGTAGATTTCCAAGTTGCATCTTTCCTGAAATCTGTAAATGGCCGCACGCTCTTCTCCTCCTCAAAGTAGTTGTCACAAAGGCAATATGGGCATGGGTTGTTGCTCATGGCAGTGGGCCACCCAAAGTCACTGGAGAACCATTCCAAATCTCCTGCCACCACAAACAGAACTCCTTTTCCTGCTTCTGCCATCTTCTTGAAGCTGCCAGCAATTGCTTCCCATATAGGCTTCATCGAAGAAGCAGTTCCTGCACTCTTGGGGAGGCAAGTCAGTAGCAGCTGAGATTGTTTGATGGCCACACCAGAGATTGCGCATCTCATTGACACAACCAGCAATGAATCCACCTCACTGTAAGGGGCACTATCTCCATGGATGAGCCATGGAATTGGCCAGCTGCTCCCACCTCAGGTTGCTATCTTCACATAATGGCTATCTTCTGATGGTTTCTTGACATACTAGCAAAAACAAAAAAGAAAAAGGCAAAACTTATCCTCAAATTCCAGCATCGAGTTTCCTCTCACTTTCTTCCAGAAAGATTTCCAGCATTGCAGTTGGGGATTGTTTTTCCAATCCTGTTTCAACCAGAACTCCTTCAAAGTTTTCTGGCTGCATGCCAATTCTTGCAAGAGGTTCTTGTTCTGCAGTGTATCCACCCATGCCTCAGGCAATATTACAGGTAAATCTTTCTCTTTCTCCAGCACAAGTCCCTCAGCATTCTTAACTCTGACCACAGTGGCCACCTGCACTGGCTGTGGCGAAGACATGCCACCAAAGAAAGCCCTGACCAAGTCCCTGTGGCAATTTTGCTTGGCAAAACCACTACCTCCAAGTTTGGCCAGAGTGTGGAGGTCCTGTCCGCTTGCACCACTCATCATTGCTGCAGCAGCATACTGCTGCACTTCACAGGCACTGATTCTCCCCCAGCAAAATTTGTTGAGCAGCATGATTGCCAAAGGGGAGGTGAGCTGCATCTCATCGCCAGGGTCAGGCACATGTTTCCTTTTTTTCCCTTGCATATTTGCTATGTTTTCCTTGGGCCTCATGCATGATCACCACCTGCAAGCAGGGCTGTCCAGCCACTTAAAACTTCATGGCTTTCCAGCCACCACATTCAAAAAGAAACTTGTGGCTATCCAGCCACCACACTCCAAGAAACAAGTCTTTTGGCTATCCAGCCAACAAGAAAATACCTGCCTACTCCTATGGCTATCACTCGCCCATTTTTTCTTCTCACAGAAGCTGCCCATGGAAATCCACAGCAGGTCCATATCTAATTAGGTTCTGGCTGCTCCTCTTTCTTTTCCTGCTTTCCATCTTCAGCAGAGTCAGTAGCAGGCCTTGCAGGGTTCTCCTCCTGTCCTTGCCCTTCTTCTTCTTCTTCAGTCTCCACAACTTCTGGACTAGGTGGTATCAGCACCTGGCTATCTTCATTGGGGTCCAGAACCCAGTGTGCATACCTGGGGTTTGCTGTCTCCTCCCCCTTCACATACAAAATCTTCCTTCTCTTGGCCATGGTGCTGTGATTGCCTTGAACCCAAAAATTCTGGAAGAAGAAGTGGTTACAGGTGCTGAAGCAAGGTTTTAATGGCTATCCAGCCATCACACTTGAGATTTAACAAGTTTTCATGGCTATCCAGCCACCACACTCCAAAACAACAATTCTTGTGGCTATCCAGCCACCACTGTTCAACCTCCTGACATTTTCCAGCTTCCCAAGCTCTAGAGCAATCTGCCTCGGTTTGAGGACTTACCTATCCTGCCTCAATTTGGGGACTTCGCTGCTTCAGTCTTCCTCCTCCTCTTCTTTTTTAGCCTTCTTCTTTGGTGGTCCTGCTACCAACTTCTTGCACTTCTTGCTTTTCTCCAAGGCTGCCAAGCTCTCCAACAATGCCTTCTTGCTTTCTTCCTTCTTGCTTCCACTGTTGATGGCCTTCTCTATCTTTTTCTGGCAGGTCTGCACTTCTGTCAGGGCAGAGTTCAGGATTTTCAATTCATCCTTGCAACCAGCTTTGCCTTTCATATCCAACTTCGCCTCCTGCAAGGCACCTTCATCCTTGCAAAGTTCTGCCTTGAATGCCAGCAGCTTCTTGAGCAAAGTGCTTTTGTTGTCATCCTTGCTGACATTGCTCATCTCTTCCCACTTGTTCTTCTTCTCCTTGGCCTCTTCCTTTTCCTTCTGTTTCTTCGTATCCTTGTCCTCATCATCTTTGACAGAGAGCTGCTTATTGAAGAAGTCCTTCAGCTCAGGCTCGATCTCCATGTCATCCAGTTGATTGCCAGCTAAGGCAAAGCTGGCATCCCCAACATCTTCCAAGTTGAGGTTCTCCATGCTGAGCCAGTCATCTTTTCCAGCCTTGTGTTTGTCAGTCTTGTAAGCCACAGTCTGGCTTTTCTTGGCCTTCCACTTGACATATTCACTTTCATCAGCAAACTCGAAGAACCTTGGGTCTGCGGGTGACTTGCGAAACTTCATTGTTCCTGCTTTCAGCCTGCTCATGGCTTCAACCTTTCCATATTTGTCCACCTGCTGCTTCCATGTGTTGAACTTCACCATGCCTCCCTTCTCATCAGTTTTCTCATAGACCAGCATGGCCTCCTTGTAGTTCTTGGCAATGGACCCTCCATCAAGGATGAAGGACCTCAGCAGCTTGTGCTTCCTCTCCTGGCTTCCAGTTCCTTTGGTGGCTTCCTTGTAGGAGCTGTCAGCTCCAGCCATCTGCCTATTCTTCTCAAACTTCTTCCACAGGCTCTGGACGTCATTTGCAGGGAGTTTGGCAAGGGCCTTGTCAATCTCCTTGGCTGAGCAGAGCTTGGCATCCAGCAGCTGCTGGTGTGTCTTCAGGTTTTTGGATGACTGTGTGTACAACTTCATCATCAGTGAGCATTTCTTCCTCCTCCCCTTCCTCACCATTGTCTTTCTCAACTTCCTTCTTCTTTTCCTTCAAAATTCCCTTCTTCCCAGTCTGCGCTGCTGGCTTCTTGAACTTTGCCACCTTTGTCACTTTTGCTGCTGGCTTCTTGGCCACTTTGTTTTCCACCTTGGAGCTAGGCCTCTTCAAACCCATGGCTTCCTCCAGCTAAGTGCGGTTTTTCCCTGGCAGCCAAAAGTGCTGCAGAAGATTTGGGTTCATTCCTTCTTTTTTTAAATCTCACTAAAAATCACCAAAATTCACATGTTATCATGTGATAACATGTGATTTCACATGTTTTCACATGTTATCATGTCTTATCATGTCTTATCATGTCTTGTCACGTCTTATCATGTCTTGTCATGTCTTGCCATGGTTTTTCACATCTTATCATGTGATAACATGTGATTTTTTGCCTTTCTGCACTTCTTTTAGTTTCCAATTTCGCAAATCCAGGATAATTGAATTCCAGAATGCTATAATTTCCCAAACTGCTTTTCCTTGGGCCTACATTTTTTTAACCACAAGCCATTTCCAAGGCTTTTCCCCTGGATCTTTGGGCCACATTGTTTTACATGCCAGAGCAAGAATAGTTTTCCCAGGTGCCATCACTTGGATCTGTGTGCTTGACTTTCCAGCAATAGAACAGGTGCATAGCTAGGGTGTAGTTCTCCCAGATATGCCTTCCTTGGACCTTTGGGCTTGCAATTTTCAATATGCCTTCCTTGGACCTTTGGGCTTGCAATTTTCAATCCCAAAGAATGAAGCCTTCCATTTTTTCCTTGGGCCTTACATTTTTTCACATCCAAGAAGGTGTTACCCAACATGCAAAAGGTATAGTTTTTTCCAGTGTCTTCCTTGGGCCTTAGGACCTGCAGTTATTCCAATCCGAGAGACTGTAGTTATCCCATTTATACCTCTAAGTGTTTCTTCAATGCCTGATGGTGTTTCTTCAATGCCTTCCCTGCAGCCTGATGTGTTCATATTTGTTAATTACCTTGTTTTTCCCTAAGCAAGAGTACACACCTCATGGCTATCCAGCCACCATTCAAACACACCTCATTGAAATCTCATGGCTATCCAGCCACCACTTCCATTTATTTAGTCTATGGCCACCCAGGCACCAGGACCACACAAGCAACTCCCACATGGCTATCCAGCCACCACTGACCAATCTTTCAAATCCATGGCCATCCAGCCACCACTGCACACAAGCAACTCCCATGGCTACCCAGCCACCACTCAAAAACACATCACTCAAACAAAAAGTCTCATGGCTATCCAGCCACCACTTCCATTTTTTAAGTCCATGGCTATCCAGCCACCACTTCCATTTTTTAAGTCCATGGCTATCCAGCCACCACTTCCATTTTGTAAGTCCATGGCTATCCAGCCACCACCACAAGCTACCAGCTTTTTTTCCATATTTTGTCTCTCCAGCATCCTGCATCTGTCATGCAGTCTTTAAAAACTGGCTCACAGCAGCTGTCATCTGCAGCTACTTGCAGTACTGCATCACCCATGACTCGCCATGGTACTTCGCCACGAGCTTGAGCAGGTTCTTCTTGCCATTTTTTCTGTTCCCAGTGCATTCTGCTTTCATGCAGCCTCTGCATCCTGGCGCTCTCAGCATGTGGTTCTTGTTCACATAGGTGTACTCCTTGCACTCACCACACTGCTTGAAGAGGTTCCAGTGCTCTTCCCAAAAAGATGGGTCCAGGCTCCCATCTTTATACTCAGGCACATTGGGCATGAGCTCCTCAGCCACCTTCTCAGCTTCCTTGCTCTCCTCCTCACTGTCTTCCTCTGGAACCCATACCAAGTATCCTCTGGGTCCTGTTCCCATGGCTTCATCTTCTTCCTGGACCTGGTTGTCCATGTAGTCGATCATCTCCTCCAGGAAGGTGTCAAAGGCAAAGGCCATTCCCTTCCCCTGCTTCTCCTCCACATACTTGTGGTAGGCCTTCCTCAGGTGTACTCTCAGGCTGTCCTGGCAACACTGGGACAGCACCTAAGCCTGACCAATCTCATGGCTATCCAGCCACCACATTAAATCCATACAAATCCCATGGCTTTCCAGCCACCAAAAAAAACAGAAATCCCATGGCTACCAGATATTAAATCCCATAATCCTGTAACTATCCAGCCACCAAAACCATGCAAATCCCATGGCTACCCCCCCCAAATTACCCTGCCTCCTTCAGCCATCCCAACTCCATCCTCTCGCTAGCTGCCATTCCCAGCCGATCCTGGAATTCATTCCAGGCCATCTCGGGTGCCTTCTGGTGGTGGAGCTGCCTCAGCATCTCTCTGTAGCCCTTGCTCTGCAGCCCACCCTGGCTGGGGTTGAAGTCCTGCAGTTTTCCAGCCATACTGCCACTGCCAGTTGAGCTGGCTGGGCTACCTCCCAGCTTTGCCCTTTTCTCTCCTTCTTTTCCCTTGCCCTTCCCTTCTAAGCTGACCTTCTTCTTGCTTCCTTCCTCCTCTGCTGTGCTGCCTTCCTTCTTGCCTCCTTTTCCTTTTTCTCCACCATTTCCACTGTCTCCTTTTTCTTGTCCTCCACCAGTTCCACTTTTTCCTTCTTCTTTTCCTCCAACTCCTTTTCCCCCACCTTTTCCTGGCTCAGTGGCAGCAGCCTGTGCAGGCTGGGCAGGCTGGGCAGCCTGCTGGGTGGCCTGAAGCTGGGCAGCCTGAGGCTGGGTGGCCTGAGTGGCCTGAGGCTGGGTGGCCTGACTAGCCTGGGGCTGGGTGGCATGAGTAGCCTGGGGCTGGTTGGCCTCATCCCGGTGCTGTGGAGTGCAGTTCTGACCACTCCAGCCATTCCAGTCTCCACTCCAGCCAGTCCATCTACCCCAGGAGTCAACCCACTGGTTTGCCATGGCTGTCAGGCACTGGAGTCAAGCTAGTGTGCAGTTTCTCTTGAGCCACGATGCCACAGAAATCATTCTTTTGCCTGAAGCTAATCCATGGCTATCCAGCCACCACACTAGGCTTAGACAAATTTCATGGCTATCCAGCCACCACACTTCCCTTAAGTTACAAGTCTTGTGGCTATCCAGCCACCACAGACAACCCAGACAAATCTCATGGCTATCCAGCCACCACACTTCCCTTTACAAGTCTTGTGGCTATCCAGCCACCACTGACTGATTTGCAAATCCATGGCTATCCAGCCACCACAGACAACCCAGACAAATCTCATGGCTATCCAGCCACCTGTTGACAAATCCCCACCCAACCTTGTGGCTATCCAGCCACCACACTCTAACTCACTAGAGCTTTCTTTTTGTCTTTCCAGCTTCCTTCAGGTGTCTTCCTCACTTTGCCAATTTTTCCTTGGCTGCCAAAACATCAGCTAAGGAGCTACCCTTCTTCAGCATCTCCATGAGCTTCCTTGCAGCCTTGCTGTTCTTCTCGACATTCTTGAAAGTCACCACCTGGAAAAGCTGCCCAACACCCTTTTCCACCACTGCCACAGCAGTTGTCTTCCTATAAGGCATGAGCCTCATCTCAGCTTCCTTGTAGTCGACCTTGTCCTTGTTCACCTTTGCCTTTGCTATCTTACTCTTCTTGTTGATCTCCTTCAAAATCTTGCCTGCAGGCTTCTTGCTCCCAGCTGCAGCAGGCTTCTTCAAGCCCATGGCAGCTTTGAGGTTCTGCTTCCTGGCAGGCACAGGTGACACCTGCAGGGCAGCATCCAACAAGCTGGGGCCATCCTTTCCAGGAGTTCTGGGGACTTCCAAATCCAACAAATCTTGGGTCTCACAGCTTCCTTCCTCATCTTCTCTTGATTCTTCTTCCTTCTTTGCCTTTGGCCCTGAAGCACCACTTTTCATATTTGGCCCTTTATCTATGTCCACACCAAATGCTGCCCTCAACCCTTCCAGCTTTTCAACTTGCCAGTCACTGAGGGTACTGCAAGCCTCTTGAAACTTCTGGGGCACTCTCAGTCTTCGCATGTGTGTGCACATGGTCATGGTTGATTCAGCCAACTTCCCACCCAGTGTTGACCTCATCTCCAAATCAAAGCTTTCCTTCAAG